GAAGGGGAAAAAAAATAAGAACCAAGATACTCATGTAATGGTACAAGATCCCAATGATGAATGTAACTGTATTTTATATTTAAAATGTACCAATAAGCTTAATGGGGGAAAAAAAAAAGAATAGCAATATCCAATGGAAGAACAGATACACCTTTCACCTGGATTCACTAGTTCACATTTTTCCATAGTTGCTTATCTGCCTCCTACAGCTCTGTTTCCTTCTTTCAGTTTTCTGAACCATTTGAGAAAACAGTGCAGAAGACCTGCTCCTTTACCTGTAAAAGCTTCAGTGTGTATTTTCTTTTCTTTTTTTTTCTTTTTTGTTACCGGGGATCGAACTTGGGTCCTTGCGCTTGCGTAGCAGGCAGCGAAACCACTGAGCTAAATCCCCGGCCCATTCAGTGTGTATTTTCTAAAAACCAGGGGCAGGGGCCAGTTCGATCCTCAGTTTGATCCCTGGTACAAAAAAAACAACAACAAACGAACACAAAAAACCAGGAACATTCACAGGACAACTACCAATTAAAATAATTGGACACTGACACAACATCGTCATCTATGTCCTTATTGTATTGTGTTTTGTTTTGTTTTGATTTTTTGTTTTGTTTTTGAGACAGAGTCTCCTTATGTAATTCAGTCTGGCCTTGAACTTGCGGCAATCCTCCTGCCTCAGCCTCTTACCATAATTTTTACAATTGTCCAGTAGTCTCCTTTAGCCTTTACCACAATTTTTTCTCCTAGTCTAAGATACAATCCAAGTTGTGTTAGTTTCCTAGAGCTGTTGTAACAAAATGCCACAGTCAAGTGGCTCAGCCAACAGACATTACCTCAGTTCTGGAGGCCAGAAGTCTGAGATCAAGATGTTCACAGAGTTGGAGGCTTCTGAGGCTGAGGGAGAACCTGGCCCAGCCTCACTCTTAGCTTCTGGTGGTTTGTGGCCACTCCTTGGTGTTCTGTTTCTTTATTCATTTATTAACTCATTCATTTTTTGAGTCCTGGGGATCAAACTCAGAACTCATGTATGCTAGGCAAGCCCTCTACCATTGAGCTATGTCCCTGGCCCTTTTAAAAATGTTATTTTGATGTAGCTGCATGCTAAGTTGCCCAGGCTGGCCTTGAACTTGCAGTGATCCCGCCTCAGCCTTCTGAGTAGGTGGAATCACAGATGTGCACCACGCCCCACTTGGCTTGTGTTCACACCTCCCAGCCTCTGCTTCTGTCTTCACGGGCCCTTCTCCCTGGGTCAGGTCTGCTTGACTCCAGTGTTCCCTTTTGAATTTGTTTGATTAATGATTGATTGACTTTTGTGGTGCTAGGGATAGAATCGGGGCATTCTATACGCTAGGCGAGCGCTCTACCACAAAACCACACCCCCAGGTCCACCTCCTTTTTTAGAAATGAGGAATTTGAGACTCTCATGTTGGATTTGAATCCCCAGGACCTCAAATTAACTTGAAAACCTCTACAAAGACCTGTCTCAGGAGGCTGAGGCAGGAGGATCACTCCAAGTTCGAGGCCAGCCTGGGTTACTAAGTGAGCCCTGTTTCAAAAAACTAAAAACAAAACAAACAAAAAGAGGCCTCTGAGGTACTAAGGGCTAGAACTCAGCTTCAATAGTGCTGAGGTTACAGACTTGCACCACAACACCTGGCTTTTCTTATTTGTTTGTTTGTTTGTTTGTTTATTTGTACCGGGGATGGAACTCAGGACCTTGCACTTGTAAGGCAGGTGCAGTGCCACTGAGCTAAATCCCCAGCTTTATTTATTTATTTAGTTTAGTTTAGTTTTTTTTTTTTGGTACCAGGGACTGAAACTCGGGACCTTGCACTTGCGAGGCAAGTGGCGGCACCACTGAGCTAAATCCCCGGCCCAAACTTTTTGTTTTTAAAGATGTGTGAAGCTGGGCATGGTGGCAAATGCCTGTAATCCCAACTCTTGGGAGGCTGAGGCAGGAGGATTGCTTCAAGTTTGAGGCCAGCCTGGGGTACGCAGCGAGACCCTGTCTCAAATCCCCCCCAAAAAAATGTGTGAAAGGGAACTTGTTTGGGGAATGGGCTCATAATTATAGTATAGCTGGGAAGTCACCCAGCAGGTCACCTGCAGTCTAGAGACCCTGGAAACCAGATCTTCTGAGGCCATAGTTCAAAATATATCCTATAACCTGAGTATTTATTCATTGAGTTATCTTTTGTAGTACTAGAGATTGAACTCAGAACCTTCACACAGCTACATTCCCAGACCTTTATTTTTTTTTTTTGGTACCAGGGATTGAACTCGGGTCCTTGTGCTTGCTCAGCAGGGGGCAAAACCACTGAGCTAAATCCCTGGCCCCTCCCAGACCTTTCTTAAACTTTATTTTGAGACAGGGTCTTACTAAATTGTCAGGTGGGGCCAAACTTGTGATCTTCCTGCCTCAACCTCCCTCTGTTGTAAGAGCACAGCGTGCACCACCATGCCCCACTTATTTTGTTTTACTTTAGTTTAATTTTTAGAATTTTTTGAGACAGGGTCTTGCTCTGTAATTCAGGCTGGCCTTGAGTTCACTAAGAAGCCCAGGCTGGCCTCAAACTCGCAGCAAACCTCCTGCCTCAGCCTCCCGAGTACTGGAATTACAGGGAATTGTCATCTTAGAAATTAATGAATTAAAAATTTGTAAGTATCTATGTCTCCAAAGATTTAATTCTGCTATATGATAATTTAAAAACACTTTGGTAGGCTGAGGCAGGAGGATTACAAATTTGAATGCAGCCTAAACCTTCAAGGTCTAGCTGGATAATTTACTGAGACCCTGTCTCATAACAATAATAATAAAAAAAAGGGCTTGGAATGTAGCTCAGTGGTAGAGTTGCCCCGGGTTTCATCTTCAGCTTCTTCACCCGCTCTTTCTCTTTCTTTCCTTCTCTTTCTCTCTTTTTCTTTCTGTCTTTCTCTCTTTATTTCTCTCTTTCTTTCTTTTCTTCTTCCTTCTTTCCTTCCTTTTGGGGGCAGGGCAAGATGCTCTCACTATGTACAGTGGACCCTTGATTTACGAACTCAATTTGTTCCTGAGAGCTGGTTGTAACTCAAGTTGGTCAATGAAGGCTCAGGCTCCTCTACACAGCCTTCAAAGTCTCTCTCCTGTGTACAGGCAGATCTCAGTGTCCTTAGAGAGACATTGGTCCAGGACTTCTCAGTGAACCCCACACAGGAAAGGATGATGTAATGTTCCTTCCAGAACTCGTTCAGGGTTAAATTTGTATCTGAGACCATCTGGAAGCACAAGCAACTGGCATTTGGGTCATAACTCAAGACTTCTTCCTAAATTAAAACTAAAATTCCAGTCATAACCCACGTTGTCATAACTTGAGGGTCCACTGTAGTTCAGGCTGGCCTTGAATTCACTATGTAGCTAGGGTCGCCTCTAACTCATGGTGATCCTCTTGCCTCAGCCTCCTGAGTGCTGAGACTACAGACATGTGCTGCCATACCTGACTGGAACTAGTTTGCTACATGTTACTGGTTTTGTGCTTCTGTTGATCTGCCTTGTGATCTGCTTGGTTTATCAGGAATCTTCAAAATCCATCCTGGTTCTGTGGTTATAAAATTCAACAATGCTGCCAAATCCTGGGATCTATTACCTCCCCTGGGAGGTTGCCGGTGGCCATGTTCCTGATGGAGGTACACTGCGCACATTTGGCAGGTAAGTGGGCATTTTTCACCTGTGGTACTGGGGATTGAACCCAGAGCCTTTACAGTGAGCTACATCTTCAGCCCATTTTTTATTTTGGTTTGTATTTTGTGTTTTTGAGACAGGGCCTTGGTTTGTAGTTCAGGCTGGCCCTGAACTCACTGTGCAGCCTAGGCTGGCCTGGAACTCACAGTGATCCTCCTGCCTCAGCCTCCCGAGTGCTGGGATTACAGATGTGTGCCACCACGCCTGGCTCCATTTTTTATTCTGAGACAGAGTCTAAGTTGCTAAAATGGCCCCGGCTGGGCTTGAGCTTGTGATCCTCCTGCTTTCCGATGACAGCCTGGCCCAACAGTATGATTTCTCCCCGGGGTGCATGAGTGCTTGCACCCCAGCAGTTTCCCCTTGACACAGAGCGTGGAGGATGGACGGCACAGTGTGTTTTAGGACCTAGCTTCAGAAGCCATCTCCGTCATTTCTGTAGGTTTTGGAGGTCAGCTCTATTCTGCGTGGTAGGGCACTGCCCAAGTGAAGCCCAGGAGGTATGAATCCCTGGGACTGTCTTGGGGAAACACAGAAAGACATGTTGTAACCTACATGAAATCTTACTGTACTAATGCATGGTGCCTCCTTTTTTGTGGGCTGGGGATCAAACCCACATGCCAGGCAAGTGCTCCACCTCCGAGCTACACTCCAGCCATATACTGTATTATTTCTCTTCTTTTTTGTTGTTTGTTTTTTTGTTTGTTTTGTTTTGTTTTTGAGACAAGGTTTCGATATGTAGCCCAGGGTGACCTTGAACTCAATCCTCCTGCCTCAGCCTCCTGAGTGCTGGGATTACAGGTGTACATCACCATGCCTGGCAAAGAACCAACTATTTTCTTGCTTAATTATGTACAGTAGACCTACTTCCATGCCAGATGTGCAGGTCTATGTCCTCATTTTCAGTAGACCCACTTTATTTCATTGTGTAGCAGTGATCCCGTAAGATTGTAATGGAGCTGAAAATATCCTGTCATTGGGCCGGGGATTTAGCTCAGTGATTCCGGCACCTGCCTTGAAAGCACAAGGTCCCAAGTTCGATCCCCGGTACCAAAAAAAGAAAATATCCAATCACTTAGTATTTTACTGTACTTTTTCTATGTCTGGCTGTGTTTAGATATACAAATACTTAGTATTGTACAACAACTACACTTGTCTGCAGTGTTCAGTGTAATAACATGAGGTATAGCTTGTGGCCCAAGACCCACATAGATGTGCAGTAGACTACCACTTAGATTTCTCTAGGTGTATTGAGTGATGTTTGCACAGTGATGAGGTTGGCTAGGGACTTGTTTCTCAGAACATACCCCTGTCATTAAGTGACTCATGACTGTACCATAATTTAATCAGCAATCAATGGGGAAAGAACAGTTGTTTCAGGCTGGGGATGTAGCTCAGTGGTGCTGCACCTGCCTGGCAAGCACAAGGTCCTGAGTTTGATACCTAGTACTGAGAAAACAAAAGGAATAGTTGTTTCAACAGGTGGTGTTGGGACTACTGGATATTGTCTTAGGTGGAAAAACACCCTGATCCTACCTCACAACAGACATGTAAGCTAAAATATGGAATGTTCAGATATAAACAGGAGCAAATCTTCATGATATTCTTGTAATCCTCAAAGGTCTTTTAGCCGAGATGCAGAAAGCAAACACTATCAAAGAGAGAAAAAAGCCAGGGATGGTGGTGCATGCTATTAATCCCACAGCACTCTTGGAGGCTGAGGCAGGATCACAACTTCAAGCCCAGTCTGGGAAGTTTAGCAAAATAGCAAGACTCTGTCTCAAAGTAAAAAAATAAAAAAGGTCTAAGAATGTAGCTCAGTGTGAAGTTCCTAGGTTCAAACCCCAGTACAGGGAAAGAAAAAAAAGGAAAGAAGGGAGGAAGGGAAGAAGGTAAGAGGACTTGGACATCAACAAAATTAAATACTTTTGGCTGGGTATGGTGGTGCATGCCACCATAGCAGGAGGCTGAGGCCGGAGGATTGTTGGGAGTTCAAGACTAGCCTGAACTATACAACAGGACTCTGTCTCAAAAAACAAAAAGCAAAACAAACGAACAAACAAAAGATACCAGTAAGAAAATTAAAAGCAAGGGGAAGAAAGTTAATAGGCAAATATCTCACAGCCCACAATGTAGACTGAAAACATGTGTTCTGATTTGTTGCTTCTACTTTTATTTTTCTGATCAGATAGAGGCTTATCATGGATTTCCATGGATTTATTGGCCTCCAAAACCTTTTGAGCTTTGTGGTGGCTGTAAATGATCACACTTCCTCCGCCACAGGTTGTGCCTCTACGACATGACGCGGTCCCGGGCGACCCTCACGGCTCAGCACGGATCTGATCAGCACCAGGTTCTTGTGGGCACCGAGCTGGTGGAGCCATTCCAGGCCCAGGCGGGCTCCCTGTATGTGGTCCTCGGCGACCTCGAGCACCAGGCCGGTGAGTGCGGCCCACACTCCCCACTTCCCTGTGGTCGGGTTGGCGCCAGTCTTCCGGGACTAGGAGCTGCCTGGCTTCTGACTTTGGGGGGCCTCACGGGGTTCGCATTCCTGCCAGACCAGGCCTCCCCTCCGGCAGGGGCCCGTAGGGAGCGGATTTGATGTGACTCCCAAAGCGGCCCCCCGCTTTGGTGCCACGTCAAAGAGAAGGACAGTGAGAGAGGGTCACCGCGGGGATGTGAGAGAAAGGAAAGAAGCTGCTCGTTCTGGAGGGCGGACGCGTTGCCTAGGCCTGGTGGAGGTGTCCGACTTGACTCTGCCCAGCCGCCCTCGATCTGAGCCTTGGTGATGTTTCACGAATGAGTAAACCAAGGCCCAGAGCAGGTGGGGCTGGAATAAGAGGTCAGGAAGTCAGGGGAAGGGAAAGCGAATGCACTGGAAGGAATAAAAGTGGTCTGGGAAAATCTCTCCTGCATCGGGAGTTGGAGGCTGTGCCCGCCTGGGTGTCGCTCGGCGGTGGAGTGACTGGCCGGGCTCCGGGGTTCCTGGCCTTGAGCCCTGCCTGTGGGCACCAGGGTGGAAAGGAGTTGAAGGCGAGGTTGGCAGTGGGGCTGAGGGAGCCTAGGTTCTGCCACAGCTTCGCATGCACACACGCACACACACACACAGAACGTTCAGAAATTAAATTCTTTGCCTCTCTCTGGCTGTCCTTAGTGGCTGGGCCGAAGAGTAGGACCTGTAGCTTTTCTCTGCTCAGGTGGGGCCTACATGGTGTGACCCCATGTTTGTGTGCCTCCCAGACTGTGGTCTCTCTCATTCTGTAAGGTTCCCCAACCCTATCATCCGGGAAACGTGCTCATTGCAGAGAATTTAAAGAGTGTAAGGAAGCAAAAAAAAAAAGCTGCCTATAATTCTACCCAGAGGCAGGGTTTTTTTTTAGTATTTTGGATCGAACTCAAGACTTTGCCCTTGGGAGGCCACTGGGTTCCCAGGCCCTACCCAGAGGCAACTTTGAGCGTCTAACTGGGCATATTGCCTCCAGAATTTTCTTTTTGTTGCCTGTGTATTTCAAGTTGGCCTTGAACACACTACGTGACCCAGGCTGACCTCAAATTCACAGCAATCCTCCTGTCTCAGCCTCCCAAGTGCTGGGATTACATGTTTGCCACCATGCTTGGCACCTGATTAGTGGGACCTGATTAGTGCTGCTCTAGGCAACAAAGACAAAGACCCCCCAAATGCATCCAGTATTTATTGAATACAACCATGGGAAGGAGTAGGGAGCCAGGTATGCTTTGAAAGCATCTAGTGAAATACTGCCAAACACCTGGCATGATGGATCCAGGCAGGGCTGTTAGGGAGTAAGCACTGCTTATCTTGCTTGGATAGAACAAACAGGTACTGGGACTGGGTGCATTTAGCAAGCAACCCGTCAGGTCAGTGACAAGCCATAATTCAAGGGAAAGGATTTTAATTGGGGTCACGCTGACCTCAGCTGCACATAATTCAGCAGACCCCTGCAACTTCATAGACCAGGGCCTAGGTTTCTGTGACAGCCATTGTATGAAGGGCTATGCTTACCCAGTCTGTCATCTGACATTCCCATTTGAGTCATGCAGAGGTTTGGTCTGACTCCTGATATAAAACAATATAGCCGAATTAGGGAAAGAAAGAAGCAGGTGCTACTCATAGCCCGCTAGTATTGGGCAGGGATGTCTGCTACAGCCCAGCATCTGCTGGGTGCTGGTGAAGGCTCTGTAGGTGCGCAAGAAGGAAAAGCTCACTGCTGTGGAAGGCGGGCACCAGGTGCTCCACCAGCTTCTCTAGTGTGCCTGCCTTCACAGTCCATACCTTGCAGGTCTCCAGAGGTTCAGGGCCAACTCATTCTCACACTGTAGTCCCAGCTACTTGGGAGGTTGAGGCAGGAAGATCACGAGCTCAAGGCAGGCCTGAGCAATCTGCCAAGATCCCTGAGCCAGCGCTGGTCCTTGCTGGCTTCATGCTGCAGCTGCACCTTGCTCAGGGAGATGGAGCAGATGACTCTGTTCATCAGCACCTCACCCATCTCCTGTGTGGACCTCTCTAGGTGTGGCAAGTCTGGGTCAAGTTGTGTGAAGCTATACAGCACCAAGGGGCAGCTGTTGGGGATGCCCACCTGTCGGCACACGGTGCCCCCACATGCTGTGGCCCCTCTGGGAGCCTGGCTCCCTTGGCCCCCATGTGCTGGACCATGCACTCAGCAATGTGAGGGGCGGGGGTGTGTGTGTGTGCACACTCACGCGTGCACGTGCTTGCGTGCACTGGACCTTGGAAAAAACTTTTAAGTATAATATCAACCTTATTAGTTAATTAATTAATGTATTTATTTATAATATTGGGGATTAAACTCAGGACCTCACACTGAGCTATATTCCCAGCCTTTTTTGTTTTTATTTGGTTTTGTATTGATTGATTGAGACAGGGTTTCACTGTGCAGTTCAGGCTAGCCTTGAACTCACTATGTAGCTCAGGCTGGCCCCAAATTTTTGCCAATCCACCTGCCTCAGTCTTCCAAGTGCTAGGATTACAGGTTTGCACCATGCCCAGCTTATTTTTTATTTTCAAGTCTTGCTAAATTGCTCAGGCTGGCCTCAAACGTGTGATCCTCCTGCTTTATCCTCCCAGATGTGGGATTACTGGCATGCACCAGTACACCTGGCAGTCTTCCTGTTTTTTTTCTTTTTAAAAAAGGGGGCTTTGTGATGTGGCACTATACTGCCATCTCTGTGGGAGAGTGTGGCAGGAGGATGGCAAGTTTGAGCCTACCCTGAGCAATTTAGCAACTTAGTAAGAGCCTTAGTGGGGATGTAGCTCAGTGCAAAGGCCCTGGGTTTAGTACCCAATACCAAAAACAAACAGACAAATCCAGGCGACAGTCATGACTGGCTGACAGAATCATTAGGTAAAAGGTCAATGGGGGGCGGGGATTAAGCTCAGTGGTTCTGCTGCCTGCTTTGCAAGCGCAAGATCCTGAGTTCGATTCCTGGTACCAAAAAAAAAAGGTCAATGGGAATGTTTGTAAATGCTGTCAGGGAGCAGGCCTGATCAACTACACTTTACAAAAAGCATAGCCATCAAACACATGTGTGCAACCTAGGAAGACACAAAAAGTGTCCTGTCTGAAATATTCTTGCAAAAACCCCCAAACCTGAACCTATTGAAGCAGCTTTCTTACTAGGTGCTGGCCTGTTCACTGTTTCTCATCCTTTGCATTACAACTTGTTTTGCATTTCCTTTCCTCTTCAGAGTTTTTCCCCCCACAATTATCTAAGTAGCAATACAAGCACATCTCCTTCTCAACCAGCAGGAAGAATTAGAGAACCAGGAGAGTGGGAAGTGTGTGGGCTGCCGGGCGTGTACCCCGACCTCTCCCCTGGGAAGAGGGTAAAAGTCACCTTTCTGACATTTTTGCATCTGAAGTTAGCTAAAGGAGTAAAACAGAGACGCTGTGCCAGCTGTGTAATAAACACCTGGTATCTGACCTCCTCTGTTAGCTTCGCCCAGGGCTCCGGGGGCTTCCTGTCCAACAATGAGGAGTCAGGGCACACATTTCCCTAGTCTGAAGGTTTCTTCCTCTCCCTCCTCCTTTTTCAAGTTTGTTTTTTTTTTAATTTTGCCGGATGTGGTGGCACATGTCTATGATTCCAGCACTCTGGGAGGCTGAGGCAGGAGGATTGAAAGCTTGAACCCAGGCTGAGCAAGTTAATTTACTCTGACCCTGTCTCAAACTAATAAATAAAAAAGGACTGGGGATGTAGCTCAGTATGAAGGCCCTGGTTCACTCCCCAATCTCCCCCAGATTTACACATGGTAGTTGTACATTTTCACGGGCTGCAGTGTGAGATTCCAACACAAACACGGTACGTGATGGTTGGAGCAGAGTAATTGGTATATCCAACAGCTCAAGGGCTCATGGCTGCTTTGGATAGGAACATTCGCTCTTCTCTTCCCTAGCCATTCTGAAATAGACCTGGCTTTTCCCTAGGGCCAATCAGTCCTCCCACACGGGCTTGTCTTGACTCATGCTGCACACCTTGCGGAGCCAGATTGGGCAGGAATCCTGCTTCCTGTCAGCTTTGTCGCGTCCCACCCCCCTCTCCTTGTCCCTGCTGCCAACCAGTTATGCTACCATCACTTTTGCTTCACTTCACCTTTGCATCCACTGCACCTTGGCCTGACCTAACTCGACCTCCGATGCCAACACCTTGTTCTTGGCTCCTCCCTGTCCTCTCACTGGCTCTCCCTGCATTGTTCTTTGGCCCTGTCCAGCCCGGTGGACTTAGGATCCTTGGGTTTGTTCCCACTTTCTCTCTCCCCATCCTGGGCCTCAGCCCTTGCCTTCCTCCACTTCTGCCCAGTGAAACCCAGCCTAGCCCTCTTGGGTCCCACACCTGTTGAATGCAAAAGATCACAAAGCTCCATGGACTCAAAGCACCTTGATTTTAGGGTCTCTTAGCTCCCTGGGCCCCTCTGCATTGCCTAGAATACGTGCTGCCAAAGTGAGCACTCTATACTCCCTAGAAAGCCTTCCACAGGTCCCTGTCAGCCCCTTCCCAGGCTCCATGACAGCTACTCAGGCGCTCACCTGCCACATAACCACCCCCTCACCCCCTGTCCTTAGCAGATGACCTTGACTCCTAGTTAAAATTGAGGCCAGGGCCAGGGATTTAGCTCAGTGGTGCGGATGCCTGCCTTGCAAGTGCAGGGTCCTGAGTTTGATCCCCGGTACAAAATAAATACATAAATAAACAAATATTGAGGCCACAAAGAGTAGTCCCTGCTTCTAAAATTACACAAAGCTATAGTCACCCGCTCCTTCCCTCTAGGCTGGGAGCAAGAGGGATCCCTCTTCCCTGGGGGCACCATTGGTCTGTGGCACGGGGCCTACTTTAGTAATGCCAATAAGAAGCCATCTATCCAGGGATGGTAACACACATCTGTGATCCCAGCACTCTAGGAGGC